AAGCGGGGGGTATTTTGGATTTTAAAAACTCCAAATGAGAAGAGGAACTACGCAAGAAATTAATAGGGGGTTTTATTAGGTTAAATCCATGATGAGAAATTGAGTAGAGGAAAAAAGTGTAAGCAGAACAAATCTATTCTCTATTAGTTGGAGTTTATCCATAATCTTATGTTAAAAAAATTGTATCTTAATCTCATTTGTGGATTGTCCATATCCTTTGATAACATAGGTTTTGTATCTTATCAATTACTACCTCCGTCCAAAATTGTATCTTAATCTCATTTGTGGATTGTCCATATCCGTTGATAACATAGGTTTTGTATCTTATTAATTACTACCTTCGTCCAAAATGATTTTGCAAAACCAACATTTTTGATCCACCAATGTTGAAGTTAAATCTTCTCCTTTGTTTACATAATTAAAAATTACATGCATATTCATAAATTTCATTAAAATCTCCATAAAGTTGCAAATCCAAATTAAATTTTAATCAAGAATTAATATCCTAATTAAATGCATAGAATGAGTATGTTTTATCTATAAAAAAAATTGTAACTCAATTTGGGATAGAGGGAGTAAAATTTAGGAATTAACACAGAGATATGGAAATCAAGTGTTGCCCAAAAATTTAGATAATATTTTTTTGTTTCTTTTTGTTGTCCTGTTGAATTTGTCCTCAATGTTGAGCTTTTTTGCTTAAAAGGTGTTTTAAATCGTTTTTAAATATTATTATGTCGGTTTAAATGCGTTCTTTTATCTAAGTAAGAAATAAGCAGTTGCAATATTTTAGTATTGCCATTATCTCTAAATCTCAAAAACCCTAATTAAGAACAGTAGCAAGTGAAAAGCTTAAAAGAGAGTTTTATCGGGCACTCTAGATTTAAAAAAGAAAAATCAAAATATCAAATTTGATTACTGGCTCTAAGTTTAAATTCCTTTCATCATCCATTGATTCAATCTTTGTAATGTTACAAAATCCAAATAAAAATCTAATCATTTCACCCGTCCCGCTAAAATTGTTTCATTTTTCTTTTCGGTCCGTTTCACTAAAATTGTCTCATACCAGAATTAGAAAAATTTATGTTTTTAAATCATTTTCACTTTGTTATTACTTAATCAATTCAATAACAAATACATAATCTTACGTTTTATAATAACTGCACCACCTCAGCTCCCAATGTTGGTGAGATATAGGTAATTAGGTAGTAAAATTTTATATCTAAAATGAAATTGTTTGACAAAAATAAATGACCTTGCAAGTCAATTCTGAATGGAGAATATTTCATTTTATAGTGTCAAGAATACTAATTAATTAGTAGCAAATTCTAAGGCAGTGTCAATTATTTTAGCTTATATTCTTAACATTTATTGTTTGGACATATATTTATGATACTAACTTATTCTACTCCATTTTTAAAAAGTGTAGAATTCTAAAAATTAATTTTATTATCATATTTAATTACATCATAAAAATATATATATGCACGCACCGCTTTTTCCCGTGCGTATGCACGGGTACTGTACTAGTTTTCTAAAAACCACATCGTCGCGGCACCTGATGCCCACATCGCCGCGACACACACCTCCGCTGTCGTCGCAGCCATCCCCATGAGCCCCCGCCGTCTTCATAAATTAAAAATGATATAATACCACACAAATTTTACCAAATTTGGTATAAATAATCGTAGTCGAACGAATCGAAATGAAAAGATGAGACAATCTTAGTGGGACGAAAGGCGTATATTAGTTAAGTCATACACTTCATTATTACATGAATAATTATGTTTTTACTGGGACTCAAATTTGTTTGTTTGTCTGATCTGGTCTGATTTGGTCCAGTTTATTTAAGGCTATGTTCGTTAGGTCATTTCAGCTAATAAAGAGGGCTCAAATATTTTACATTCAGCGAATAATTTCATAATTAGTATGTTTGGATGTAAAGCTTAAGTTGACTTGAAGTGAAAAAAATTAACTGATATATAACGTTGATAACTAAAATTAACTCATCTTTTCTTTTTGATCCGCCCGACTTAAATTTGTATTGTTCCAAAATGTTTAAAATTATGAGATGTAAATAAATTAATTAGCTTCCGTCAAAGTTAATAGCAAATTTAACGGAATGACTCGATTAATATAGATGAAATAGATTAAAGACTAAAATGATAGATTTAATAGTTAATTACCAAAATGATATGATGATAATAGTTCAAGAACCATTTAACTGTTTTACTCTATTTGGGGTATTACTTGCTCCGTAATATTTTTCAGATACTCATAGTAATCAATCTTGGAGGAGCACGCTCGAGAGTTTGTTGAACTTTGCCGCTTTTGGCTAAACAGAAAACTGGTTGCTTTTTCATTCTTTTCCTATCAATTTCCCTTTATTCATAGCTGTGAAGGCCCTTTTTATCTCAGCCGTGCTAAACTTGCAAATAACCCAAACAGGCAATGCGTCATTTTTCAACTACAAAACAAAAGAAAGAGAAAACAAAAAATATGCCATGCCTCTAGAATTAAGGGCTCCCTTAATAATTTGCACATTAAATTTTTGGATCCAAATTATTTGAATGCAAAGTTTTAGGATATACTAGTATCTAATAATAAAAGTACATTGTTTCATACTTTCATTTGTTTGATTAGGCATTTAATACATTTTTAAATTGCATACTAAGTAATTGCACTCTTTTGTAAAAAGTTTACATAATACATCATAAAATATCTAAAAACATTCTACTTACATGCATCTTATAAACTAGAATATTGACATTTGTAAGTCGAATGTAAAAACAGTACTTCACCACAATGCATGCATAGAAAATGAGAATTTCTTTACTCTGATCTTGTATATTTTATTTTGGGAAAATTGCATTTTTAGTATCTGAAATAGTCACGAAAATAAAATGTCGGACCCATATTTCTGATATTGTAAATGTGACCTCTCAAATGTCCAAATTGTTGTAAATGTGGTCCTTTAAGGGTGAAATGTACGTTCGCCCACATTGTATATTTCACCGCTCAAAAGAACATATTTATTTAAAGCATTTAGGACAATTGAGGGGCGACATTTACAAACTTGAGAATAAAGGTTCAACATTTCATTTTTCGTGACTATTTCAGAGACTAAGAGTGCGTTTTTCTCATGCACACAAATTTGTTGGGACCTTTTTAATCATCAATTGTCAAGTGTAATTTAAAAAACCGTTCGGTATAAATAAAGGAGAAAAGGGGCAAATAAGGTCATGTACTAACAAAAAGAAGTCAAATAAGGCCTTATTTAGGAGGCACTGTCCGGTCGTCGCCATCTGGGTGGTTCCCAGTGGAATTTTTTGATGAAATTTTTTGAGAATCTTATTCATTAAGTCTAGTTTACTGATGTCAAATTTCAGCTAAAACTTCAATCGGGAAGACATTCAAATGAATTCTTGAAGATAACTGCGCAGTTAAAAGCGCAGTTATCTTCAAGAATTCATTTGAATGCCTTCCCGATTGAATTATTAGCTGAATTTTGGTATGATTAAACTAGACTTAATGAATAAGATTCTCAAAAAAATTCATCAAAAAATTCCACCAGAAACCACTCCAAATGACGACGGCCGGACAGAGCCTCATAAATAAGACCTTATTTGACCTTTTTTTGTTAGTACATGACCTTATTTGCCCCTTTTCCCTAAATAAAGGAATGTAGATGGTAATATCAATGTTAGACCAACTCTATTTTTGGTCGAAAATGAAGTTTACATCACCCATTTTTTATTTGTTAGTATCAATCATTAATTTGTAATTATATTCATTCATCTTTCCTCTAGAAATTTCAACTCCAAAGTTTTTCACTTTTTATCATTTCTCATCTAATTCAGAGCCTATTTGGAAGTATAAAAATGGATTGAATCGGCTGATCCTGCAGCAATTTAAGAAATTCTAGTTGAAGTTGCTGTATTGGTTGATTTTGGTGATTTATGAAAAAGTTATATTTAAAATATATTTTATTAATAAAATAAAGAAAAAATTATATGTAAAAATAGTTAAAATGGTCATTTACTATTATTTCGGCCAATACAGTCGGAAAAGTAGTTCCAACATTACTTTTTCTCATTATTAAACCTGATAAACCAAGAAACAGGATTACCCAATGGGCTCTCAATGTTGTCAAATGGGATGAATACAATTTTGGAGATATGTAGAAAATGCTTGTGAGAGTTTAGGAATGTAGAAATAAGAGGCAGTTTGGAGCACCCAATATGGGCTGATCAGCCTGAAAGTATAAAAAAATCACCAAACAGTTGCTGATTTGGCTGTTTGGGCTGTTTGGGTTGATTTTTATTATCAGTTGAAAAAGCAACACTTTACTTACGTTTTGAGCTGTTTTTTTTTATTATTGTACTGTTTCTAAATGAAAAGACCAATTTGCACTTCTATTATACGTATGTAGTACGTGAAAAACCTCGTCGAAAGTTGCTTGGGTGGTCCAGATTAAAAGCTCCATGATCATCTAGTTCTAAATTCTTTATGGTTTTGGATTTAAGTAAAATATTAGCAAACTACTCCACTAAATATTTATGTGAATTTTTATTTCGTTTTTCATTTTGATTTAAGTGCATGTGCTTGAGCTTTTTAATATCCTGTATATATTATTGAAAGTGTATTTTTTGTATTGAACAATACAAATTCAATAGAAGACTTTTTTTGACAAAATCCAATAGAAGAATAAAAAATCCAATGTCTTCGGTTAATTAAGCTGACTACTAATTAGCTAATCAAACAGAATTAATTTACTACCAAAGTTCATACCCATATATTTAACACAAACAAGTTAATACCCTTTATAGTAATTTTACCCTCAATCAGCTTTTTCAGCCAACATATTACAAAACACTTTCGCTTAAACACATTAAGTCTTTTCAGCCTATAAAGCCTATTCACGCATTGCATCCATTACCAAACAGGCCCTATATCTTGTAAGATCAGAATGAGTTTGCCGAAATAGAAACCCCTAATAAATGAAAAATGAGGTGAGTAGAGAAACCATGTTGCCATCCATATCTGCTACCTCCATCATGTTAGTCCGACAATCCGCCCCAAAATAGCTCAAGTGCTCCAAGTATTGGGTTAAATACCGCTTTTACCCCTGCACCCTTTTTAAAAAAGTGTTCTTTTCCTCTCTATCTGTTGAAACTTGGAGTGTCTCAGCAAATTGCAACAGCTCTCAAGCATTTGCATTTGATGGCTTTCTGGTCAATGTGACGGACCTTGACGCTTTCCTCTCTCTCTATCTCTCTTTGGGTTTCTTTACGTTACTTCCTGTCGTTCACTCGCTGTGTTCATTTCATCTTTCACATTATTTCCTGCTGTGCTACAGACCATCTTACACTCTAAAGGTATGTCTACCCACCACCCCTCTTTCAGGCTATTTCCATTTTTAAACCTCATATGTGATTAATCTTGAGGTTTTTTAGATTTTTATACCTTAAAAGTTCAGATCTTGAATACTTCTATCAGTTCATATTCCTGTTTTAGTGAATTGTCAAAAAAAAGTTGTAATATTTTATTTTTCCGAGTGAAAGATAAATCTGGGTTTTCATTTTCTTTGGTGGTTTAAACTCATTGTTGAACTTTTAAGCTTTTTAAAGTGCATTTTGTAAGTTCAGTTGCAGGAAATTATAAAAGGCAGGCCACCCAAGAATCTTCTCCTTAAAGATTTTTTCCTTCATGTTTTCTTACTTTTTCCCTTCCTTTCTGTGTTATCTTCCTATTCCTCCTCTTCTCCATCTCAACCCCCCCCCCCCCCCCCCCCCCTTTGGAAAAGGGTTGTGCCTCACTAAGGAATATTTTTTGAAGAAAGTAAAAGGAAACAACTTTATCGGCCTCTGTTCCATCACTCAATGACAGTTTGTTGCGGGAAGCATGTGCTAACCATGGGTACATGGACAATCCTTAATATCTGTGTTCTGGATGAAACATTAACTATTTTTTATTATCAAAATTGAGTTATCTATACTTTTTAGGGTTAATACGCTATTAGCTGTTTTCTAAAAAAGATTATGTAAGCAGGTTGAGAGACTAACTAAACTCAAGTTCCCACATGGTGTCCCCATCAACATTGGGTGAAGGGCATTGTAATGCTTCTTCTGTAATGGCTTCTCCTTCAGCAATTTTGAAGGGTAAGGACAGGTTGAACCTTAAAGCTACAGAATTGAGGCTTGGTCTTCCTGGATCTCAATCCCCTGACCGAGATGAAGGAATCTGCTCATCTCTCAAGGCTTCTGGGAACAAAAGAGGGTTCTTAGAAACAAAGGTCGCTTTAGTGACTCAGGCTAATAATTGGATGCTTACCACTCCCAAATCTGATTCTCAGGCTAATATGAAGGACAAGCACGTGCAAGCTAAGTATGTTCTTGAGAGCCAAACGTTTTTCTTTAAATACTCTATATATAATCCATCTTGTGAGCCTGTGAGATGAAACGAAACGTTGACTGTGGATTTGTTGTAGATATTAACATGAGATTGTATTGTAGGGAGCAAGTTGTTGGGTGGCCGCCTATTAGATCGTTTAGAAAGAACACACTGACTTCAAGTGCTAAGGTGAATGATGAAGTTGTTGGAAAGCCCGGCCCCATCGCTATTTTTGTTAAAGTCAGCATGGATGGAGCTCCGTATCTTAGAAAGGTGGATCTTAGAACTTACACCTCATATCAAGAACTCTCTGCTGGGCTTGAGAAGATGTTCAGCTGTTTTACCATAGGTGTGCCAAGTCCTGCATTCCTCATATCTGTTATTTGAACTCACTCTTTCTGTTTTTTGTTCACTTCTGTTTTTTGTCCTTTTTTGTTATAAGAAGAACAATGTGAAAGCCCCCAAGGAGGTCAAGGCAGAGAACATTTGAGTGAGAGTATGTTAAGAGATTGCCTTCATGGATCAGAGTATGTGGTTACGTATGAGGATAAGGATGGAGATTGGATGCTTGTGGGAGATGTCCCATGGGAGTAAGCTCCCCCCTATCGGTTCACTTACCATGTATTTATTTGGTTATAGGTGATACATGAATGAACATGGGGAAAACCTTGATTCATGTCAAAAAAGAAATTGGAGATTTGAGGGGATGAAGGAAAAAAATTGTTTTAGTTAATTTATTTATGTGATGGTGAATAGGTGATGCCTTAAAGATGTGATTTAATCTAGTACTATGTGTTTTTGTAATCCAAGGTTTCACTCCATTGAAATTTTTACTAAGATTGAATAACAAAAGTAGTAATAATAACAGAATATGACTTTCTTTAATGTTTTGGATTCATTGGTTCAGATTTGAACAAAGTTTTGAATATGCTAATGTTTCCATCATCTTCCTAATCTAAAAAGTTCATTTACCACAGTATGTTCATAGAGTCATGCAAGCGGTTGAAGATCATGAAGGGCTCTGATGCAATTGGATTAGGTTTGTTTGGTTTGTTAAATCAATCAATGTTCATGAAACGTATTCTATTTGACATTATGATAGAAAAGTTTCAAGAATATATATAAACAGATTCATCTTGTTCTCCTATGCAGCTCCAAGGGCTATGGAGAAATCCAAGAGCTGCAGGAACTAGCAGACAGCTTCTCAAGTAGCATTTTGCTGCATCCTATCCACTCTTCAGCAATCTGCCTGCCAAAATGGACATATCTCTCTCTGTTTATTTATTTGTTCCAATGCCTCATTATTTTGTTCTAGTATGGCTGAGATGATGTTTTTCATCCTAATTAATATTTGTATTGGATGTGATATGAACAGTGAATTGTGATAAATCAACTAAGAGACTTGTAGCAATGTAATTTGATCTATTGTTTACGTTTTGTTCAAATATAATCGAATCATATCTTCATTTGATAGGGGAGCAGGACCCTCCCTATATACGTGTTATATAGGACCCTCCGTTTGATAAGTTCAACTTTACTTATTTTTATTAATATATAGTCCGGCTGACGAGATCTCTAAGTTTAAGCTATACAATATTGGGTTACCATTGAATCAATTGTTCAATTGTCCAGAGTGTTTGGAGATTGGAGAAAGAACTAATCTCATAGAATCCTAATAGGAAAAAGAATCAGATATGCCCTTGTACAGTTGTACTTACATAAAAGGTCAAATAATCCTTTGAGCATATACGAGGCTCTGTCCAGCTGTCGCCATTTGGAGCGATTTCCAGTGAAATTTTTTGATGAAATTTTTTGAGCATCTTATTCATTAAGTCTAGTTTACTCATATCAAATTTTAGTTAAAACTTCAATCGGGAAAGCATTCAAATGAATTCTTGAAGATAACTGCGCATAAAATATGTGGCCCCTCAGTGTAATTGGCTATTTGGCCATAACTAATTATACTTTAGTATAAAATATATAAGTGGCACCTCAGTGTAATTGTGTAAAAACATGTGTGCCCCCAACTCTTATCTCTATCGAAAAAACTCCAGGTAGCCGGCTGTGGACATGTAAAATTTATTGGGCCTCTTTTGAATTTATTGGGCAAAACGTCAGATTCTATTGGACTGCTTGTAATGGTTGTCGGGCCTGATAAAAAAAGAGGAAAATATTAATATGGGCCCATTCGAATATAATTTAGTGATTAAATTAATTTGGATCGCTCAAATGTCCAATTAATTTAATTATAAATTAAATCCTTAAAAGAATGGACTAATCCTATTAATTTCTTGAATTTGAGTCCATTATTAAATAGTGCCCAATACATAAGAGACATGATCCAATTGATAAAGAGAACAATGAATCTGGTTAAGAAATATGTCTATATGCATGGAAAATGGTTGCGAACCTTGTTAAAAAAGCTATCTAGATACATCAGACAAATGCTGATTTTTGTAGTTATTAAAATGCAAACAAATAGAGCCCATAGCCTATTTTTATTGAGGCCCATGAGGTATGGACGAATTTTGGAACCCTAAAGCATATTTCATCCCCCTCCACACCTATAAATAGGGGTCTCAGATGAGAGGAATGGGGGAGAACTTCCCGACGAAAAAACGCTGCAGCAAAGCTCTGAAGAACTCCCGAAAGGCTCTGAACGATTCCAAAGAAGAGGAAGAGATTAAGCCACGAATTTTCTCAAGAATATATGAAGTGATTTCATCGATTCTTGATAAAATAAACCCAAAAGTTGAACAACGTTCGAAGATCTAAAGAACGAAGCTCGAAGATTCGAAGATCTCAAGAACAATGCTTTGAAGATTCGAAGATCCGAAGAACGAATCTTTGAAGATTTGAATATATTCATATGAAGTTTGAATCAAGATTCAACTGAAGATCAAGCCACATATCCCGGGAGGCCCTTAAACAGAAGATCAAGTCATAAAACGGTCCTTTTGTTGAAGATCAACCCATTTGAAAACCGGAGGCCCTTCAAGTTGAATTCTTTATTCAAGAAGATTTAAAGATTCGAAGAACGAAGGTTCGAAGATTCGAAGATCTCAACAACAAAGATTTGAAGAATCGAAGAACGTTTGAATTTTTGAAGAATTAGAGATTTAATTTTAAATTAAATTCTTTAATTATATTCTTATCAAATTGCAAGTGAAGAATCAGAGGATTCATATTTAGAGATTGTACCCGATATTTTCACATATTATTATTTGCGATCAATTTTAAGTAAATACTTAAAAATTGTTTCACACTGGCTATCTTAACTAATAAATTAAAGAATCTTTTTTTTTTTAATTTCACTTCTCTTAATTATTCTAATTTTCACTGATCTTTCCTCATCTTTAGTATTTTGCTTTCACGTGTATGAATTTTTCTTTCATTTTAAATTTAGGTAATGGTTGATTATAGTTTCTAAATTTTAATCTGTACTCCCTTTACAACTATTTTTTTTTTTGTCTTTTTGAATTGTTCCAAATAACAACCCGACTGGTTCTAGGGGCTCTAGGAAATGGAATGTCATCCATTTTTACAATTTCTAAAAAATATAGATTGATTATCTACATTAAATACAAAAACTTGCAAATGTAGGTTAATCTAATACTTTGTATTATGTAATTATGATAAATATGGAACTGCTACCTGTTTTGAATTTGATATATATTTGAATAACATTTGTACTAAATCTTTTAGATAACGTGTCCAATAACATTTTTTCCCAAATCTACCACCGATAATTACATAATTTATGTATTACGATTGAAGGAGATATTGTTATTATTTATGTATAAAAAGAGGCGATACATGCAATGAGTTGTTATACTACTTCCGTCTCATTTGAAATTGTCAATTTTATATTAGATGTGAAATAAGAAAAGTAAAAATTGCGCAGAGGGGAGAAAAAAAGTAAACTCACAAATGTGCAAAATTTTCACTTTAAAAGGAAGGGGAAATAGTTTGAGAAATGCTAGAGGTACCCCCATTTTCTACCCCATTTTGTACCCCATTCTATGTTTGTGGCTCACAAAAATCCAACCCAATTAAAATAATTGCTCCATTTTAACTCATTGCTTTTGTGAACCACTAACATAGAATGGGGTACAAAATAGGGTACAAAATGGGGTAGCTTTAGCATTAGTGAAATAGTTTTAATATTTTAAACTTTGAAGGGATGTGACATAAGTACCCAAAATTTGCACATGTAATATATATACCCCAAACTTTACATAAAAAGTTATATTAGCACCATGATCATATATTTTTGGGGTAATTTGCTCCATTTTATAATTCAAATTGGACTTTGCACCCCATTTTTAAAAATCTTTGTTTTTGCACCCCAACTTCATATGAAAAGACAAAGATCCCCTCGATCAGGAATATGTTGAAGCCTAACATAATTGTTAATGGAGGGCATTTTTATCTTTTCATATGGCATTGGGGTGCAAAAACAAAGATTTTAAAAAAAGGTGCAAAGTTCAATTTGAATGATAAAATATTTGGGGTGCAAACTCAAATTACCCCTATATTTTTCACAAATATAAATTAATGGTGTTCAGTACATAATTTAAAATGCCCAAAACATTTATGAATATGAAATTTAAATTAAATTGTACCGGATGTAATATTATTTATTCAACAAATGAAATTTTAGAATGTTCATTGCATTCTAACAAGGCTTAGAGTATTTTAAATTATATAATTATTCTAATGAATTTGTATTTGTAAGAAATATACAATCAGGGTGCGAATATAACTTTTTATATAAAGTTCGGGATATATATTACATATGCAAGTTTGGGATACTTACCTCACACCACATTAAAATTTGAGATATTTAAATTGTTTTCCCCTTAAAAGGAAGGTGACAAAGTTTTTGGGACGATTGAGAAACGGAAGTTGGAAAAGTCGAGCGATGGAACAAAAGGAGGCCATGTGACAAAGTTTTTGGGACGAATGAGAAACAGAAGTTGGAGAACTCCTAGGAGTAGTTTTTCATTTGAATCCTCATAATACATTTTATGAACTTTTATTGTACCGGTGGGCGTAGCTCAACTGGTAGCAAGGGAGTGCCACAAGGGTTAGGTCCCGGGTTCGAATCCCGGCAACTGCGGTGAGAGGTTACTATGCTAAAAATGCATAGGGCCTCTGCAAATATCGGGGACGGAGCCCACCTCTCTATCTGTCAGATTGTGATTATAGTCCAATTTACATCCTCCCATCGTGCCGTCCGGTCGGTGTTGGGGGCCCTCAGGGATGGGGTGTCATTCTTTTTTTTTATAAACTTTTATTGTGTTTTAATTGTGACCATCTTTTAAGGCGTTCAATAGGTTCAATTAAATAAAATCCTAAAATTTTAGAGGCTCCTAAATTTCAGCGTATTCGATTTTTTGGATAAATGGTAAGTATGTACTCCATGTTTCTTAAAAGTTGCAACATTGTAATTTTTAAACTATTCACACACCTTACTTTGATCACGATTTTCTACTAATATATACAATCAAATTATTGTTTATAAAATGTTACTAAATTTATATTAATGTGAATTTCTAAAATATTAACTTTTTATAATGTTTACTAATATGTAATTAAATATAATTACGGTCAAAGTTGTGTGTTGGCAAACGTGAAAGTCAAACTGTTGCAACTATTAAAGAATGGAGGATAGTATATCCAAAGAGTTTATGTACCAAAAATAGGGATAAAAAAACAAAAGGACTATCCCAAGAAAGGATAACCCATCACCTCAAAAACTATACAAGATAGATGAGTAAAATCGTGGCCAAACACACAAAAAGTAGGTGGTGGGCCGAAAATCTAACATTCAAAAGGTAATCAGTTCTTTCTTGGGGCCAGGGTAGATGTTGTAAAGGATCTTATACACCGTGTATTTGATCCTAGCTAGCACATCCTCATCTTTGGGAGTAGTTCCATCAAACCCTGTTGCGTTTCTCACTCTCCACAGCTAGTAGACCGAGTATAGGATTGCAATGCATACGTGCTGCCTTAGCTTGAATTCCAGCCCCTCCATGATCTTTCTTGATCCAGTTCACCAAGCTTGCTAGAGTAGACATCTGTCTAGGCATGCCAATCCAGTCCGTCACTTTACTCCAAATATTTCCTGAAAAATTGACAAGCGAAATATAGGTGTGGTACAGTTTCCGGTTTACCCTTGCAAAATGGACATATGTTAACCACAATAAGCCTCCCAAGATCATCATAAGTTGCAAGGAGATTACAGAAGGCAAGCCAAGCAATGAATGAAAATTTTGGGGGTATGTATGCCTTCTAAATGAAAGGTATCCAAACATGTTTGGTACCCTTTATACGAAGTAGATCATATACCTTGGCCGAGCAAAATTTATCATTAGTTACAAGGATAAGGCATTTATGGTATCCAAAACCGTATTATATATACTTATCAACCAAGCTATCCCTGATCAAGACTATTTTCTTAATGAATTGAGAATCTTTTGGGTGTGGGGAAAAGTCCCACACAAATC